GCGATAAAGGTTACTACCTAGGACTTTGGTAATAATGTGAGAAGCACTCAGTTCAGATTACGCATTATTTTGTGTGAGGGAAATGAGAGATCATGAGATATGTCATGTGACATTAATGGACGGATTACAGTTGTTTAATCGGAAAAGGGGGAAATCTGGAAATTTCGTATTTAGCTATATTCTGTGTTGTGTGAAACGTGACATTAATGGACGAATTACAGTTCTTTAATCAGAAAAGGGGGTTAATTTGGAAAAGCTTCATTGTGTGTTGCGTGAAATAGTGTTGATTAATTTTCGGATTGCATGGCACTATGTAAAGTGAATTCTAAATTTTTAATGCGTTTATCTGATAATAATAATAAGTTGAGATTGTGTGAAAAGAAGGATATTACAGTTAAGTTTAAATGGTGGTGCAAGAAATATGGTGAAAATGGACATTTTGTGAAAAGGACTGTAAGGAAGGGTACGTGGTTTGCTGAAAGTAATTTGAGTATAGGTGAAATTTTATTAATTTCTTATTACTTGGTGAATAGACTTCCAGTTGACTACTGGATTTAGGATTTAGAAATTAGCAGTAGTGCTGCAGCCACGTAATGAAGATTAGGTAAGTTAGTATTTTTAATCATTTGAGGATATTTATTATTTTTATGCATTGTTCTAAACGTAAGGAGTAAATAAATTAATGTGGTATTATTGGAAAACTGTTATTAGCAATGATTTAGTTTAAAGTAATTAGGATTGTAATCTAATTTTTATTAATTTAATGTATGTGCTTATTTATATTTTAAGTAGTGTTTTTTAATTCAATTATATTTTAATTTAATGATCGTGATTTTGTGAGTTATATATTTCTAGTATTTTGGAATATGTTTGAGTAGTATACGCTGAGTATTTTCATGCATTTTCGTGAAATTTTTCTAATTTATGAGAAAAAAGCAGTGTACATGGATATAGTGAAGAGTGTGCGCTATGCCATTTTTGTGCTATTCTGGGATGTTTTTTCAAGTAAAAATAAGTCGACGTGTACATGGTTTAGTGATATTTTAATTAAATGATAGTTATTTTGTGAATTTTATGTTTGTAGGAATTTGGTATATGTTTCAGTTGAAGTAAACGTGTATGGAAATAATTTAAATATTTGACACTAAGTATTTGTAACTATTTTTAATGTTTGCGTATAAATTCGTTGCTGACGTTTATAATATAATAAATAATTTAGAGGTAAAAATTTTTGGATATTTTATTTATTTTATACGTGGAAATGTTCATCCTTGGAAAGGGTATATACTTTTTCGCGATGAGGTAATTTCGTATATGTTCCTTTTACCGGATTTAAAGATTCACAAAATTTTCATGCATTTTCGTGAAATTTTTCTAATTTATGACAAAAAAGCAGTGTACATGGATATAGTAAAGAGTGCGCGCAATGCCATTTTTGTGCAATTCTGGGACATTTTTTTAAGTAAAAATAAGTTGACGTGTAAATGGTTTATGTGTATGTGCTATTCTGAAAAACGCGCAAGGAGTTTGCAATTCTGCACTTTTTCCCAATTTTGCAGTTAATATTTGTCATGATTAAGCAGTTATGTTACATAAAATGTCTAGCATCAGTGTAATTGGGCTAGTAGATTGTTGGAAAAAGTGTTGAGTAAATAAAAAGAAACATGTCTTTACTTCGTGACGACAAAATGGCAAGGAAAAAAACAGTAGAGGGTTGCTGTAGCAGAGTTGGTTGCCAAATTTTCGCCAAAAAATCGCCAAGTTACCATAATCCAAAGATCAACCAAAACACTACTTAAAATATAGATAAGCACATACATTAAATTAATAAAAATTAGATTACAATCCTAATTGCTTTAGACTAAACCATTGCTAATAACAATTTTCCAATAATATCATATTAATTTATTTACTCCTTACATTTAGAACAATGCATAAAAATAATATCCTCAAATGATTAAAAATACTAACTTACCTAATCTTCAGAATCTTCATTATGTGGCATGCACACTTCCACTATTTCACACAACACACAACGAAGCTTAATACAAAATAATATAGTACTACAGTTTTAGAAATTCCCCCCTTTTCCGATTAAAAAACTATAATTCGTCCATTAATGTCACCTGATATATCTCATGATCTCTCATTTCCCTCACACAAAATAATGCGTAATCGAAACTGAGGACTTCTCATATTATTCCCAAAGTCCTAGGTAGTAACCTTTATCGCCTCCAAAATGTCGCCAAACTACCAGTTACCATATTCCAAAGATCAGCCTTAGTTTCCACTATGAACGTCAAGTTTGTATGAAAGATATGCATCTGTTTAAGGTTCGATCAGGTGGCTATGAATGGGTTTGTCACGAGAAAGTTGCTCAAAACTGACACTCATATCAACACCATTGAGGGTATGTGGAGCCACTTTAAGTGCGAGTTTAGCAGGCAGGGCTTTCAGCAGCCGTCAGATGACATTTTGTATCCCTATTTTGTGGAGATTATGTGGCGTCACCAATACCGGAACAACAGGATCTGCATTACGTATGGGTAGCAGTCATTTGATGATGACGATGAGACATAGCTAAGAACACATGAGGTGACTATTTTTGTTACTTTTGAAATATAAATTTTCAAGATTGTTTTAGGGGATAGCCATCTTTGAAACATTGCCTTTCGGCACTATTCTTGATGACCTGAAAAAATCACCAAAAACAACAATGGTCACCTTAGTGTTAACCTTTACCGAAACACATAAACAGAATCAAACTCTACGGCAGCAGAAAGCTATGTCGATAACTTGCTAAAAACGGTAAAAACTGCAATATGTTGTGTATCATTATACTAAAATGTTAAAATTTCCATAGATTTTTCCATAAATTTTCTGCGGTGATGCAGGTAAAAATATCTGAAGAAGTCAAAAGCTATATGGGGATGCTATATGCATACCTGGATTGCCACATAGTTTTTGGTGACATCATTAGTTACAGTAACAAATATTTTTTGGTGGCATGGTGCGTATTTTCGTGGCTTTCAGTGGGAATGCGGATAACCAGAAAGCCCCAAATACAATACAGAATTTTGAGATGTTTATTCATTTTAAGAACAAATTTACTTGAATGAAGTGCGGTGAGAGCTACTGATACGACATCCATATCCGTTCCAGAGCATATGCACTTCACTACAAGTAACACAATGTGTCAGAATTACAAATTTCTTTTATAATGCTTCATTAGGCAAACTGATTATGGTAAAAGTATAGTTTAGGGTATACCCCTTGGCCAAAATTCGCAATTTTTGGCGGTACATGGATACCGATTTTGTGCAATTCTTTGAATCGTTATTTTGGCACAAAGCCAAAATAACAAGACAAACAATTGCACGAATTCGCTATCCATGTACACATCACTTATTTTCCCTTAAAAAAAATCTCCAAATTGAACAAAAATGGCATTGCGCACTCCTTTGACTTTATCCATGTACACGTCGACCTATTTTCACTTAAAAAAAATCCCCAAATTGCACAAAAATGGCATTGCGACCTCTTTTAACTTTATCCATGTACACGTCGACCTATTTTCACTTTTAAAAAAATCCCAGAATTGCACAAACTTTGCAGAAAATCAGAATTGCATTGCGCACTCCCTTTAATTTGTCCATGTGCACATCGATATATTTTTACTTAAAAAGGTCAAAGGAGCACCAAATTCTACAATATAGGCAAAAAAAAATACATAATCTCAATTAAATACATTTTAAACCAAGAAATAAAATAACATGAAAAAGGAAAAACATGTTATACATTTAAACACTACCAAAAGCAAATATTCACTTACCATGATTTTCCAGTTTGCTTCGTACACCCAGAGCCACGTAAAAATCAAAATATCAATCATACTCAAATGACTTTTTTCAAACCAGATACTCTTTCTGATCTGAACGCTTCGCATAGTGACCATCTGAATCTTTCTTCCTACAAACCCATTCAAATCCATCTAAACGGTTTTTACGTTCGACTAAACGCATATCCTTCCTACATACAGGACACTTATAATGGCTACTAAGTAAACCTTCATTTACACACCAGTCAATTAAAGCTCTTTTCCCCTTTCGCTCCAAATCATACAGAAACTTCAAATTAATCTTACTACATATCGGCCATTCTAACGTCTAAAGAATCAAACCAACGCACACCACAAAAACGCTTACAAAACATCCCATGATTCAAAATTTTGCAGAATCATGCACCCGATTACGTCACACAGGGTTTCCATAACATTCAACTACTCAGGCTACCATAAATGAAACAACAATTTCGCCATAATACAAGGGGTACCTTAAAGTCTACTCTACCCCTGATTACTTATAACTGCCAATACAGTAAACGAATAAGATCAGACATCATACCATTGTATAAGGCAAGTATAAAATTAAGATAGTTGTAATAAATATTTAAGAAAATTTTACTTAAGTGATGAGATTCTAAATACACAACAAAATGACTAGTAAGCATTTAATCTAAATGATAAATGAATTCTACTTCATCATATTTATTTATCTATAAAATTAAAATGTTTAAGAACTAACACACATTTTGATATTAAGTAATACATGGCAATGCTGAAAGTTGACTCTTAAGTGCATTCATTCTTAATAAATTTGTAACAATCAAATAAAATGGCTGAGAATATGTACTTTATTTATTATTTTATAAATTACCCTCCTCGATTTAGCTGTATGCAATTTTGAATTACAACGGATATGCGATTTTTTAAATAGATAAAAAGGCATTTGTAACTGCATCTGCTTAAGAACATGATCATAAGCATATATAGCAAAAGTAAATATAACCACTATATAAAATAAGTATAAAACATTAAACTACAATATTTAAACAGAAATATTAAACTTAAAAACACATACCCAAAATACAATTTACATTTAACGTCGACAAACGGCGCCAATTTACAGACACATACGCCACCTACAAAACAGACTTTTTACCTTTGCAACGTCTTCTTCTGCTGCAAATTTTTCAAAAATGATTTTAACTACCTTTTTCATCCGATTCTATTTTCTGAAGAAAAACTGCAGTCTCATTTCATTATTACTTGACATATTAAAAATTCGTTACAACTTTCTATAAGTTTAGCAGCAAATACGTTTGGTTATTTTCAGGATTTCAGAAAGGTCGTTACATCGTCTACGCACATAGCCTCTAAATAAACTTAAATAATACTTACACTAATTAAAAAGATTAGATTTTTATTTAGAAGGATTCATGTTGTATATTTTCACTAAAGAAAGCTCTGATTTGCCATCTGGTGGCAAATAGGTGGAAACATTAAAAACTGGTATTTACATTTGACAATGCTACGTAGTTTGTGAAGCGCGTTTTGATCGAAAAGAAATTAAATGTTTATTTTTTATTGTTATGGGCATTATGTATAACTTAGAAAGAAATACAGACCACACGCTTTGTTGTGTACCTCAGCGTAAATCATGAGCTTGCAAGGAACCTGAGTTATGTTATGCTTCTATCGCATTCTTGGTTCGAAAATATCGAACAAGATAGCAAAACGAAGAACGGAGTGGAGCGTATTTTCGAATTGGAAAGAAAGTTGGACGTTATATGAACGTGCGGGATAAGGTTCGGAGAACAGACTTGGTTGCGCCAACTTGGCTTTTTTAAGGATATGGGCGACATTTTGTTATGCCAACGGAAGTAAATATCATGTGGGGAAATGGTGCTAAGGAGAAAAGGAAAATACATGGGGAAAAACGGGATTAAGATGTGTTTATATTTGTTTGGCATCTGATTCCTAATTTTGTTATGTTGCTAAATTAGCATTAAAAGTCAAGTAATGTGCATCTATTGCGAAAATGCAGGGCAATTACTTTTCGATCCGATTTTATACATGTATTAATATATCACATTCCTGCTCATATGATCTACTCTGAGGTGACAAAAGTCATGGGATAGCAATATGCAAATATAACACATGGCAGTAGCATCGCATACAAAATTTAGATAAGGTTCCGAGAACAGCCTTGGTTGCGCCAACTTGGCTCCTTTGATATGGGTGACATTTCATTATGCTAACGGAAGTAAATATCATGTGGGGAATAGGTGCTAAGGAGAAAAGGAAAATACATGGGGTAAAACGGGTGCTAATTTTGTTCTGTTATGTTGCTAAATTAGCATTAAAAGTCGAGTAATGTGTGTCTATTACGAAAACGCATTGCAATTACTTTTCGATCCGATTTTATATATGTATTAATATATCACATTTCTGCTCATATAATCTACATATGTATCAGATAACTAGCTCCTTTTGACACTTATTTCTGGATGTGTATTATTTTATAACTTTTTCTGCTTTGAAAACCCAAGTTTTGAAACATTATGTGTATGCTTGTGAAAATATTATTTCAGATATTCTCGTATAACTAACTATACTATAATCTCATATTAACCAGTTCTGTAAAATCCTAGTATACGGTGCAGCCATGGCGCGATTTTGAAAATTATCGCCAACACCAAAAATGACCCAAAGAACGTCTGTGTATATACTATACACTATTTACTATCACTATATACATAGTATATACTGTGTATAACTATATATATTCTTTGAACGACCCGTTTACTAATCGTATATGTCCCGTTTTTACTGCTCATCATCAAGTCGCCAAATTCCGTGTGCACCGGATACGATAGAAATATGCTTCTATTATTTACTTTAAAAATGCTGTATTTGATAGCCTTCCACATAGTAGCCATTCTAGAATTAGCTCTCTATAGTAATATAATGTTAATTGTCTTATGCATTATTTTGTCTAAGTATTCATTTTCATAAAGAATATATAATCAATGTAGAGAATGCGAGTTCAATATATTTTAAAGACAGAGGTAATAAATAAAAAATAAAAGGGAGACTACACATGCAACCAGATAAAAGTGACCATATTCTAAAGAAGTTAACAAACTCAAAATGATGTGAAAGTATAGCCTATGCCACAAAATTCACTTAAGTAATTCCATTATTTCTGAGTGGTAAAGCAGAACATATATATCTGAGTGCATTTTTTATATCTAAAATAAAATCTGTTATTAGTTGCTGATGAAAAAGTAAGAAAACAATTTTTATGAATAGAAATTTATGTAGCTGAGTATTGATAGTCTGATACTTCATAGACACTGAAATAGCAATTTATATATTGTATGAAAGTGAAAACAAAGTGTTGTTTTTTGAAAACTTCAAAAATCTGAATAATTTTCAGAACATATTCTTAAAACAAATTAAAAATATACTCTTTCTTAGAAGTTATTTTTTTATAATTATATGCCATATACTTTATGTACAGATCAAGCATGGCCAAACTGAGACTTGGAATTCATAATTTACTCACGTAATAAGCAACTCACATTGTTTTGCTTTTGAAACAGAATTTGTGTGTCTTTTTAATAATTACTAATTTAATTTTTTTCAAATCACGTGTGTATAATAATTTCAAACTATGCCATATTTGCTAATCTCTGATAAGTAAAAACAACTTAGTTGTTATGTGATGCAGTAGGGAGGTTTGATTCCTATATTGATCCTGAAGTGGGCTGAAGGCCCACGCAATAGCAAACAACTAACTATACTTTTCCATAAGCCCAATAGTTTGACAGCTTACAGTCTCATTCCCCTCTTTTTTTTATGCTTTTTACCATTACCATGAGGAGATTGTATAGATTAAGAGTGGAGTAAAAATCCATAGTTTTCAAATTACTGCTCTATTTTTACATTATTGTAAACTGCAGTATGTTTCTTCTTTTATTTTCAGTTTACTGCTATTAAAATCTGTTTTTAATTATAACCGAAAAAGAAAAATTGAAAATTTGAAGGAAAAGCTTTATTTATTAGCTTATAAAAAGTAAAGTATAGAAAAGTTTACAATTTCATACATCCAAGGAATATGCTTTCTCGGATACTTGAGCAAAAACAGTAACAGTTTAACAGTTATTTTGGTACTGTTCTGTTATTCAAGGGGGACTGGATTCAGAAATGTATGAATGTGTGTTGGTATGTATGTGCTTATATGTGTATTTGTATGCACACATATATTTGTACTTATGCATATAATGAACATATACATGCATACATAAACCCATACATACATTTCTGAACTCGATCCCGATAACAGAACAGTACCGCTATTTCTTTATTCGTGTAAGTAAGCATTATTGTTGAAATAAGAAACCCATGGCAATTTACTTAAAATATTTCTTTTTTATTGAAAAGCTTTGCTAATTTTGAAACATGATAAACACCTAATTGTGTTTTTTGAATAGTTCTGAATTGTAACATGCAGTTCTTACTGACATGATGTCTGATGACTTTGAAACAGAATTAGCTAATACAGGAATATAACTGTCTATGCAAATATTCTTAAATCTTTGTGAAACTTGTCCAGTCTTTATAAACCAACATGTACAAAAGATCATTAAACACCAACAGGTGGTTTCTGGAATCGGTTGCATAGTATGATTTTTACTGTTTTCAACTTTTCTTAATTTTTAGTATCTACTCAACATTTTGTGAACTTATAAGTTCTGTGCAATAAAACATTTGTTAATTTATTTTTCTTTTTAGTCAAACTAAAGTTGTAACCTGGAAAATGATAGTACAGTGCACAGGTTTTGAGAACATAAATGTTACAGTTAGCATGACTAATCTGAGAATACAAAGGAAAGTACAGTACTTTACGGACTTTCTTTTTCCTTCCCTTTCACAAAAAAACCAAAAATACTTCCTACGTACACATTTTAGATGAATATTTATGATGGTAATGTGTTTTTGAATGAAGATTAAAAGGATATTACTTTTATTCATCAATTATAAAAGTATCTGAAAGCCATGGCTTTAATTATAATAAATACTATAACATAGATGTATTAAAAATAATAAAACAACCTATTCTGCCCTATGCATCTCTTTCGCCATTGCTAGAAAATCCAGTACTTTTCTGTTTCGCCGGCACAAATCTCATTAAGCAGACTTTGTTGGTGACAACATGCAGTATACACATAAAAAAAATGTTAATTCTAAGAATTTTTTTTTTATTATTTTGAAGGCATAAACATTTTAATTTGTTTTAAAATTTTGTAAAAAGCCAATAAATAAAGACAATAGATTTGTAAAAAGACATTAATATAAGAATTTACTATGATTTCATGGTTCAAAATCCTGATTCGCCGGTTCGTATCACGTGACCCCAAGTGATCTCATCTCACATAAACTACGCTACTAAAATCTAATTCTCTCAGTAATTATCTACATTAATTTCAAGTTAAATCTTAATTTGGAATACAAGAATTACTTCAATTCGTACGAATAGCTTACTCAGAAATTATGTAAAACCGTAGTGCTTTACTTCGCTAATGCATTCTCATTAGAATTGATGAATTTAACACTTGATTTTGCCTTTGGATGAGCAGTGTAATTGCGTTCTAATTGACTTAATTACCATGAATTGTCTTATGGGATAAAATTTAAATATTGTGTAAAAATTCTATATTATTGTATGCCACTATTGAAAGAAACAATCTGATAAGAAGTGGCTGCAACTTGTTTTGAAACTGAGGCGTAAAAGGTTACCAGCGAAGATATTCCGTTTGCGTCATTGGTTAAACCATTATTGGCGACTTTATCGTGTGTGCCGGCAAAACGGAAAAGTACCGAAAATCCTTCCCCCCTCTCCAACTCTTGAAAAATGCATATACATTTATTTAGATTCAGACTATGTTTCAACTTGTTTTATAAATTAAACAACAAAAGTGTAGAAAATGTGGTACTTTTTCGTTTCGCCGGCACAAACGATAAAGTCGCCAGTAATGGTACAACTGATGCCAAACGGCATATCTTCGCTGGTAACCTTTTACGCTTCATTTTCAAAACAAGTTGCAAACAAGTCGCAGACATTTCTTATTCAGATTGATTGTTTCTTTTCAATACTGGCATACGGTTCGCATAGAATTTTTACCAAGATAGGTTAAATTTTTACGCCACTAAAGACCATTTGCGGTTATT